ATAATTGATGACATATAGCCCATTCATTGTGAAATTCTGAAGAGTCTTAATACTGGGAGAGCACATACATCTTTAATGCATTTTGTATAACTCAAAGTTAACCTTTAGAGAAGGTACATGCTTCTTTTGTATGAATCCCTAAATCAGCTTTTCTAATCTAACACTGGATAATCACATATCCGTCTCTTAGCAGTAGCCAAACTCATGCTGTGAGTTTGACTTACAAATATAAAGCATAATGCAACCTGATAGAATATGCAATTAGGTTTAAATATTTTTTGTTAATTCTTTAATAATCAGATTCAGTTACACTAGTATGGGTATTTTTTTTTTAATTCTTTGCTACAATAACCATTCATCTGATCACCATCACAGTATTTCACAAAATATTTGAAATTACTGATGCCATAAAATATAGTTTGTTCACTTGATGAAATTCTCAGATTCTCCCATTGATAGCTGAACAAATTAAAAAGACTGGCTGAATGAACTGACATGAGTAGCTGAATAAAACGAGAAAGCATACGCAAAGAAATGCAAAATCTAACCAGCTAATGCAATTACTGATCACAGATCACACTCTTTATAGTTAGAAACAGGGTTAACAATGAATCCAAAGTATTTCTAAGACACCCCACTCCTGAAATATTCTGTCTGGCAAGCAAAATAATGAATTAAAATACACTTCAATTAATACATTAAAAAATTCAAATCATCATGGTGCTCTATCCCCATTGACATAAACCAAAGGTTTGATCTAATAACATTGTTTTAAACCCCTCCGAGAGCGAATCCCACTCCCTTCTAGCACTGAAGATGTTATCTAGTCAGGTAATAAAATGTCTACAAGCATACCATCAAGCTCAGAGAGCTCCAACAATTCTACAACACTGTTTTAACCTGGCCAAGGGAGTATGAGCTATATGTATATCCAAGGGAATAAAGTTCTATAAAATGAGAAATGCTACAGAGAAAGGTTGCCACTTTGACTCATCCCATGTCCTCCAGAAAAGAAGAGACACTTAGTAGGCTATCTCATGATGACCAGACTGGATGGACATATTCTATTCTGGCAACTCATTGCTTGATATAAGTTGGTGTTTGGTTAACAAGCAGCATCTGAATTGGGACTGGAAGCCTGTTGGTAACTGGTGTAGCTATTTTAAAATTTGTGTTATTGTACACTGATGAGACAGAATCACAATCACTCTAATCACTGTTTTTCACAAATTGTAGGTTCCAAGTCATTTCAAAAGGTGGACCAATACAGATTAAATTGCAGTTGTACAGCCACATTACATTTAAGCATCAGGACATCCTGATTCAAGTAGGGCAATTGAGTGAATCCAACTGGGTGGACTTCAGACAACAATATCCCCATCTTTGCCCACTAGAATTTCAGTAAAACTGTAGATGTCCAGGCTGAACCTAAGGGAGGGGTCAAACACGTCATCAGTCTCAAGTCCCTTTCATAGCCACAAGAGATCTAAGTCCAACCCACCTTGAATTCCATTGACTCTTATCTACCGCCAATTTGCTTTGACTGTTAGTAGTTCAGATTCTTGTAGAGACCTTAAGCTTGCAATAAATCCTTATATTCATTTGAACTGCCTGGGTTTCTGGATTTCTGAGCTTGACAAAAACTCTCTCTTAGCCCAATCCACTTCACAGAGTTGTTGTGAAAAAATGGGAGGAGGAAGGAGTATTAGGTATGCTCATGACCTTGAGTTATTTATAAAAATAGTAAATGGATGATATAAACTGTTTAAAGATGCACACAACTCAACCTGTTCATCCATCACAATATCATATATGCACTTGATCTTATTGCAGTTCACCCTCATATTTACCAGGCAATTAAAGGCCAAAGTACACACAAATTTGCTCATTGGGATCTACCTATGCCCCCGCCCCATCCTTTAATTCTTATGGTCACAACATCAGCCTTCATTTCCTCACCTAGAAAGGTTGAATAAATTTTCCAGCCCTTTCTGTCCTTGCCTGCCCCTACTTACCATAACCCCACAATGTGCAAACATCTCTGTTTGTCTAACCTGTTAGGCACAATCAACAACACTACTTCTAACCTACCTCAGTCATTCACTCAATTAGCTCACATATATTCTCTATTTCTCCATTTAACATACTATATCCCCCAGCTTTCCTCAGGCTTATGGATCTAGTTTTCATACATATCACCAATCATCTATTCCTCCCTCCCCCCTCGCCCCTACCCCATGTACTATCACTCCAATGGGGTGGAAGAACCATCTTCTATCCATACACAGATTGTGACTTTATTTAAAAATGAAAAGAATCCGACTACTTTTTAAGTAGCTATGTATCATTCATTATCTCAATTGAAGAACAATGTTACAATACAATTACAGCATCAGTTAAATACAGTGTAGGTGGATTTGACAGACAGGAACAATTTTAAAATCAATTCAAATTATTTAATTGTCACAAAAGAAAGATCTTTCCTCTCCAGGGGAAAACAGGAAGAGAGAGTACTAATTTTTATAGTCCTTTGGTATCCTGGGCAGATGTTAACTTGCGTCAGTAATATTTATGGCACCAAAAAACAAACTGGTAATTAATATAAGTAATGCACACTTGGTATAATATGGCCTTACATAACAGTGCTGACTAACTCCTTGCCATCAGATTGAACAGTCTTCAAAGATGCTCCAACATAGATAGAACCAAGTCTTGCCTAATCATAGCCAAATCAGTTCTTAGGAATGATGGCAGGTGATACCTTATCCAAAGCTGGGTCAAGAATTATTGGCTGCCATAGTTAGTTCAACAATCAAGAGGAAAGCCAAATCTGAGAACATCTTTAGGGTCTCAATTCAAATATTATTCAGTTAAGATACTAGGAGGAAACAAACTTTGCAGATTAAGAAAAATATGCAATATTTAATTTCTAATGAAATCTGGACCTACATGTGTATTAGATAACAGTATGAATCGCTAAGAAAGTATTGAGAATTCAATTACCATATTTCCATGGGGAAATATGTTGTCTATGGGTCGGACACAACTTTGCAACTAACAACAAAACATAGATACAGATACAGATATAGACATATAATAAAATTAAAAGCTGTAAAAATTGTTAATGTCCATTGGAAATTACTATGGCAGCAGAAAGGACAATGTTATAGAGTACAGTTTTATTCTTCTGTTTTTCCTTCTAGAGTTTCTTTATACCAGACTTTATGATCAGACTTGCCAATGTACCCAGAGAAGATAAACAGGAGGAGGAACAAAAGTTTATAAACATGAGCACAGTAAAGTGTGTGTGTGTCTGAGAGAGAGTGAGAGAGCGAGAGAGAGCATATGTATGTGTGTGTTGTGTGTGTTGTGTGTGTATACACACAGAGACACTTTTTCAGATCCTACCCAACATGTTCTCATTGCCAAAGATAATTTGCAAAACAAATTGGCAAAGGGAGAAAGGGAGAAGAAAAACTGCAATAAATTGTTTAAATATGTTTAAGGGTTCTTTGATATCTCCATCTGGATTTAGAACTCATAAGTATGAGGAAATTTCAAAGGTTTACAACTTTGAACTATGAAATGTCATGCGAATTCTGTATGCACAGATTACTTTATATTACATTACATTAGGGTGGCGCAGTGGCTCAGCGGTTAAGACGCTGGAAAGCCAGCAGCCCAGGTTCGAGACCTGAGCGCCACGTGACAGGGTGAGATTGCCCCAGTTCTGCAAACCTAGCAGTTTGAAAGCATGCAAATGCAAGTAGATAAATAGGTATCATTTCAGTGGGAAGGTAACAGTACTCCATGATGTCATGCTGGCCACATGACCATGTAAATATCTTTGGATTGTGCTGGCTCAATGGCTTTGAAACTGAGATGAGCACTGGCCCCTATAATTGGCAATGACTAGTGGAGTAAAATCCACAGGGACCCTTACCTTTTACTCAGTGGTGAAATCCAAATTTTTTTACTATCGGTTCTGTGGGCGTGACTTGGTGGGCATGATGTGGCTTGGTGGGCGTGGCTTGGTGAGCTTGGCAAGGGAAGGATACTGCAAAATTTCCATTCCCACCTCACTCCAGGGAAAGGATACTGCAAAATCCCCATTCCCTCCCCACTCCTGGGGACAGCCAGAGGTGGTATTTGCCGGTTCTCCGAACTACTCAAAATTTCCGCTACCAGTTCTCCAGAACCTATCAGAACCTGCTGGATTTCACCCCTGCTTTTACCTTACATTTATTATTTTACCTATTCCTTCTCTTCTTGCTTCTGCAATTTCTAAATTCTGAAAAACAAATTTAATGCTTTTTGAATTTTAATTCAGTGATCTTTAGCACATCTATGTGGGAAATCCACCTGCAACACGGGAAACATTTTCAGAAGCGCTTATTCAGTTGGAGATATTTCCCAATGCTAATGTGTGAATCCCAAAGAAAATGCTATATTTAAGGTGAACAGTTCTTTCACAAATCTTCTGTTATTACCCATGATCCCAATACAGTACAACTCTAGTTCTGTCAAAAGAAAAAAATTGAAAGCAAGCAAAACAGAAAATAGCTCAAATAAATGTAGTTTCAGTTATACAAATAACATGAATAATTAAACAACAGCATATAATTAAGAAGTGGCTCATTCAAAATAAATACTAGATGGCAAAAAGGACAAAATTTTACACTCTGAAGGAGAGTCAGTAAATTATTGTCCCATCAATGGTATTAGGAAATATCCTTTATCCAAGGAAGTGAGCCAATCCACAACAGGGAACACAACCAGGGAAATCTCTAATCTATGGCCTGTTTTGATTTTTTTTGCTTTATATTTCACATGGATCTTTCCTGTTTATACATCTGAGCAAATATTTTCCCCTGGCTGCCAGTGGTAGTTGTGTCTCACAATGTTGCAGTCTCATACTAGATTATTAACATATTGATTACATTACTGGAAACAAATGTACTTGGGATATATTAAAAATTCATGCGAGCATTGTAACCAACCTCAATACTTCTTGGCTGGACAGGGACCAACTGTAATGGAAGGTGAACAATATTCTTCAAGGTCCTTTGTCAGCTAGGAAAAACAAAATGGCAACAGCTGTTACAGTCCACATATTAAAATGTTCCATGTTAGGAAACTAAAATGGATATGAATTGAATTTCACTTGTTTCTTAAAAATTGAGAATATTAGACATACAAGACCAGTTTAAATATCTGAGAAAAATATGAAACACACTGCATTAATAATAGCAGGGCATGCAGCAAATCATTAATAGATTTAGAAAGCATTTATAAACGTGTAACACTGAAGCCAACTGTCAATGAATCCATGGTGAAATATGCAAAGCAGATCTTTTAACTAAAATGAATAAAGTGTTTAAAAACATCACTCTAATTCCACACATTTTTTTAAAAAATATGTATACCTGGGATCCTCAATCTAGAAGAGAAACCACAGAAAATATGATAGTGACATTAATGTTCTCCTCTGTTATTTATTTCACTGCTCAGTTTTCTAAGATTATTGTGTTAGAATAAACAAGAGGCTTTTCAAACAAATAAAGAAGGTTCTTAATCTTTGGATGTCCGATTTCACTTCACATGCTCCTCATGCGTGCCAGGTTTTATTGGTGAAATATTATATTAGATAACTACATATTATGAAGAGTGCACAGGTAGTCCTTGACTTGCAGCCACAAATGAGCCCAAAATTTTTGTTGTTAAGTGAGAATTTGTTAAGTGAGTTTTGCCCCATTTTACGACTTTCTTGCCACAGTTGTTAAGTGAATCACTGCAGCGGATAAATCAGTAACCTGGTTGTTAAGTGAATCTGGCTTCCCCATTGACTTTGCTTGTCAGAAGGTTGCAAAAAGTGATCACATGACCCTAGGACACTGCAACAGTCCTAAGTATGAACCAGTTCCCAAAAGGATCTGAATTTTGACAACATGACCAGGGGGATGCTGCAATGGTTGTAAGAGCCTGTAGTACAGTGAACTAAGCACTGTTATTAACATCCGCTGCTTGCAATTACTGCAAGTTCAAATCTCACCAGGCTCAAGGTTGACTCAGCCTTCCATCCTTTCAAAGGTAGGTGAAATGAGGACCCAGATTGTGGGGGCAATAAGCTGACTTTGTATAAATATACAAAAGTATGAAGGCTATTGCTTAACGCATTGTAAGCCGCCCTGAGTCTCTGGAGAAGGGCGGCATATAAATTAAAGCAAAAAAAAAAAAAAACCCTATGAAAAATAGACAGAAATCGCTTTTTTCAGTGCCCTTGTAACTTTGAATGGTCACTAAATGAACTGTTTTAAGTCGAGGACTAGCTGTACTCTATTGGTTAAAATAACAACCCCACCAAATAAGTTTAGAATTCCAGATGCTAAATATTGAAAAAAATAAAATGCTATAAATTTATATGGAACCCACAAGCAGAGCCTATGAATAAGGGCTACATTTATTAAATGCCTTAACTTAAAAATATCTCTGATCAATTGTGCAAATTCTTTTTTTCCCCTTTCTTTCTTTCTTTCTTTCTTTCTTTCTTTCTTTCTTTCTTTCTTTCTTTCTTTCATAAAACAAAATGTAGGAAAGAAAGATTAAAATAGAAAAAGCATTACAAAAATAGTTCTACAATTATCAATTGTGTAATAGGCTGTCTGGTTAAGAAAAAGATTATTATTTTAATTGGGACTGGCAAGATTGTATCCGTTTATGAAGAAAAAAAGGGTATAATCCTATCAGTCCTAGCAATATAAGGCTCTCCCTCTGTTTTTTGAGCAGATGAATTTTTATCAAAGTTCTTTTAAACCAGGACTATTGACCAAATTTTATCAAGCCATTTTTGAATAAAAAAAATTGCCTACCTTTCCACTGCTACACAATGATTAGTTAAAAGCAGGTGCACAATAAGAAGCACCCTTCTACCAATAATAGGATCTGATTTCTGAAGATGGACGGGTGGGACAACTGAGACGGCTCCTGCTGTATTACCCTTCCAAATGAACAGCTATGCCCCTGTCCAAGTTGTGGGTTGCTGATGAATTTTTCCCAGAGTTATTGTGGCCTTCCTTGTGGGAGGGTGTGGTAGCAGTTAAAGAGGACATGAGTGTCACAGCAAGCAATGGCTTGTTACAGGTTGTTAAGGGCCCGAATCAGAGGAAGGCCACATATTAGTTCTGGGTACTCAAAGCAAGTTAGATGTGATTAGAGGGTGAAGGACACTGCTTGGTCAAGTTACTACCTAGTTGCCAAACAGCTAAGTGCCACTTATTTCCAAAGATGATGGATCCTTTCAACTGGGGTTTCTATAGGCATTTGGGTGGCATTCTGTGGCCTTTTCTATCTAGGCTCTAATCACGAACAAATAATGTCAGTAATGTACACCAAGAAAACCAGATGGTTAGAATCACACCGTGCATGTTTTGGGCAATAATTCCCACAGAATTCAAGACTCCACATTCAGGAATGTATTTATTCCATTTCCACAGGATGAATAGTGGGCTACATTTTTATACAGGGAATCAGGTATTTCTATCAAAGACTACTGACCACTGTAGGCAACCTCATTTCATAGAATCCTTTCGGCAAAACAATGTATTATGCTTGATCAATATAAACTCATAATATACATCAGCGGTAAAACAACAACAACAAAGACTAGCTTAGTCTCAAAATAGTCTAATGATCACCATTACTGTGGACCTGAAAGCAAAATTTTCTTTCCAAAATTGTGTAACTGTTTTCCTGGAAATAAGTACTACAGCTACCAGCTTATATGGAGATAATTAAAGACAGATACATACCTGATTTTCAGTTCTTATAGTAATTTCCTATTTGGGGCAGTATAATAATACAGGAAATGCATGAATGACCACTTAATATAATATCTCTATCATATGTTCCTCTGGTAAAACGTTTTATTCTATTATGGCTGCATTTCAAGAAGATTAAAACTATACTCTTTTTTTTTTTTACATGGAAGAGGTTTCCAGTAAAAGCTTCCATAATATATTTATGACATATCTTATACTCTCTCTAATGTGCCATCTAACTATGCAATCCCATTAAGTCGTAGAACCTGAAATGTCCATGAATTTGATTAGAGGGGGGTGGAAATCATGAGCTTTGTACATATGCCTCTTTAATAGGATTTTCTTTGGAACTAATCAGATAGGAACTTATTACTGAAAGCTAAGATTATTTTTCCAAGAAATATGTGTACCATCAGGATCTGAAATTTCAGCCTCAATTGCATCTTTCCATCCCCTGCTTAGGTTTACACATAACTCTATTAGATTTTGCTGATGACATAATGAAATGACACTGCTGTGGCCAGAACGCAGAGGGCTGTTACTGTTTTATTACAGAACATCCCTGGTGCCTCAAGTAGACAGACTCAGAATTAGAAATGTTAGACAGGAAAGCTTAAATGCCACAATTTGGGGGAATGGGATGTGTCTCTGTTTTTATATAGGCTTTAACTCAACATTTGTTCTTTGGCACTTGATATTTATGCCAATCTTCTGCTTAAACGACAAAGATTTTACAGCTGCCTATACAAGTTTTTAATACATTCATACCCCTCCTCGTCCCTTTCTGTGATGAGTGTCAGTCAATGTCTCTTCCATGAGTTAAATATCATCAAATCATAATAATGCTTATTAATTTCTCTCCCTGTTGAGTCATGACTGCTTAAGAGTTTTATATTCTCATTAAGTACTGGTTGCTCCTTTCAAACACAAACAGTCTTGAGCTTGGAATCACTAAACTGTACCTTTGAAACCTAATACAGGCTTGGTATTAATATTACCAAAGAGTTTAACCTCTCATGAGATAGGAATTGCAGTATGTTTAGAATTATTTATATACTATAGTTTGATCCCATGCTTTTAACTGGATTGGTTTGATGCAAATTCAAACCAAGGCAAGTTGCAGCCCAAAGAATGTATACTTGTAAGTAACATCAATTACTGTAATTGCATAAACCTCACTTTTAAATAGCTAGACAAGTTATTACAAGAATTCCTTCTCTCCATGAATCCCTCAGCTATGGTCTAGTATATTATGTTTTCATATGAAAACTACATTGCAGTCAATTAGAATTAGAATAGAATCTTTATTAGCCAAGTGTGATTGGACACAAGGAATTTGCCTCTGGTACATAAGCTCTCAATGTACATGCAACAACAAAGTGATAGGCCATATGTCATAGATCATAGTTACAATCATTATTCATAAGATAGAACAATGTGATAAATCATAGATGCCAATGGGAGAAAGATGTAGTAGGAAGGATGAGAAGATGAGAAGGATGAGAAGGTTAATATCAATACAGCCCTACTACATGGATAAATATCTTTAGGCCTAATGCTAAAATGCTGATGTTGTAATGAGGAAATAGGCTATCTGTCTAAAGATAAAAAGATATGATTGTTTATGCATTTGTTAAACTTATATCTGTTATTTCTTTTAGAATATCTAGATGGGATGTACCTTCCTCTAATTTCCCCCCCCACAACAACTCTTTGAGATAGGATGATCTGAGAGAAAGTAAGTAACTAACGTCACATACTGAAGATTGATGATTATGAGTGGACTTGAATTTGAGTTTTTCTAGTTTTAATCCCTTAACTCCTATACCGCACTGCCTCTTACTAATGTTAGTTATTAATGCTAAAATATTGTTTTAATTAGAAATTCTAATTAATGCTAATGACACAGTTAGAACATTCACCGGAAAAGAACAAAATTTCATGCCGAAAAAGAAGATAACAAAATACTCTCGACTATTTTGTGTCAAAAAGCTATAATAGAGAAAAATAGAAAATGTGATAAATAGGGAAGGCTGATTGTTCCTTCAAGCAGCAAAATGCTATTACCTGACAAAAAATAAATGAAGGCTATTTTTCTTTCTACTCTGTGCAAGGTATATTGCTACACTCGTGGTTCATCTACCATTTGCATATTAGTTCAAAAAGAAATATGTTACCATTTTAACAATTCAACTAGGTGGATCAAGAAATTCAGTGAAATACCGGGAAAGTGGAAAATGTTCTTAGAATGGATAAATTCCACAACATGGAAGCAAAAAAAAAAAAAGCACAAATATTTTAAAATAGAGGAAATGAAATACAACAATGAGTATTCCTAAATTACCTAATTAGATTTTTGTTTGCCTTTATCTATCAAAGACTGGTTTTCTTCTCTCAGTCTGGTCTTTATAAATGGAGTGGAATCTCTTGTCTTGTGAAGAGACATGCTTGCTTGCTTGCTTTGTTTTTCACTATTTAGGAAGTCACCCAAATAGCTCAAAGGGGCATTCGAGCCTTGAACTCACTGAGATGAGAAATGTATAGATCAGTCAACTCAACTGTTTGAATTACTAGAATATTACACACTGATGAGGTTTTTATTCACTTAAAAACATTACAAATTGAATGCATAATCTTTCCTAAAACAAAGTTTCTAATATTATTTGTATTAACTAAGCTACATAGTATTAATTCCCAAATAATGAAAGGAAGGACTGGAAGTTTGCTGTGTCCAGTGAGCAAGAGGCACTGAACTGTAATTGCAGACAGAGAGAAGAGAAAAGAATGGAGAAAGTGGAATCATGAATGGAAACAAATCAATTGCTGGAGCAGCTGGATGGAAGTCAATGGTGCCAGTGGCTGGGGAAGATTCTGGACTGTTTAAAGCAGGGGTGGGCTCAGGAGCATGGTTGGCTCAGGAATTCTGGGAATTGAAGTCCACAGGTCATAAAGGGGGCCATAGTTGCCCATCTCTGATTTAGAGTAGGTGAGGAACTAGTGGAGTGAGACTGACTTGCAGATGAAGTCAAATGGATATTTTTAGAAGTGAGCTTGTTACCTAGCTCAAAGCTTTGGGCTAGTCCTCAACCTACGACCACAATTGAGCCCAAAATTTCCATTGCTAAGCAACACATTGTTAAGTGAATTTTGCTCCATTTTATGACCTTTCTTGCCACATTTGTTCAGTGAATCACTGCACAAGTTAAATTAGTAACATGGTTGTTAAATTAATCTGATTTATTGAAGGTCACAAAAGGTGATCACATGACTCCAGGATACTGCAACAATCATAAAAATGAACCAGCTGCAAGTGGCTGAATTTTGAACACGTGACTATGGGGATGCTGCAACAATTGTAAGTGTGGAAAAACAGTTATAAGTCACTTGTTTCAGTGCCGTTGTAACTTTAAATGGTCACTAAACAAACTATTTTAAGTCGAGGGCTGCCTGCATGATTTCACTCATATATTCAATTTGAAATATCAAAATAAAAATGCCACCATTATTGATTGTAAGAAATGCAATGAGCGAATGGAAATTAAAATTAATTCCATTCTACAAACAAAAGCCTCTAACACTAATGAAATCCTACTAGCCTATGAACTGTGACAAACATTAAACTGCAACTTTGCTGAAATGTGAAGACTTTTATAAGAGTGACAGCCTACTGCAATGCATGTTAAAAATATTTCTTGTGCATTTGGATGATATAGTTAAACTTTCTACAGTGCACAACTGGAATGGGAGTAACAGATTCAACCACATATTGATATATATTCTATACAAAATTTCTTGTAGTGTGCTTGATGTGTTCGGTTGATGTGTCCTATATCCCACTATATTGAATGCTACAAAGAGTTCCTCATTATGATGAAATGTATTATATTTGTTTAAACTGTAGAAGTTATTTCTTCTGCGTATGCATATACTGTATACAATGATTTATGCACATTTATATCTTCCTTTTTCATAATGCATGACTACAGCATATTTCCAACAGTAGAGACCTTCAAATTTCTAGATTCTACCATATCTCATGACCTAAAAGCGGACACCCAACATCAAAAACATCATCAAAAAAGCACAACAAAGAATGTTCTTTCTGCGCCAACTCAGAAAGCTCAAACTGCCCAAGGAACTGCTGATACAGTTCAACAGAGGAACTATTGAGTCTGTCATCTGCACCTCTATAACTGTCTGGTTTGGTTTTGCAACCCAACAAGACAGACACAGACTTCAGAGGATAATTAGAACTGCAGAAAAAACAATTACTACTAATCTGCCTTCCATTGAGGACCTGTATACTGCACGAATCAAAAAGAGAGCTGTGAAAATATTTACAGACCCTCACATCCTGGACATAAACTGTTTCAACTCCTACCCTCAAAATGATGCTATAGAGCACTGCACACCAAAACAACTAGACACAAGAACAGTTTTTTCCCGAACGCCATCACTCTGCTAAACAAATAATTCCCTCAACACTGTCAAACTAATTACTAAATCTGCATTACTATTAATCTTCTCATCGTTCCTATCATCCATCTCCTCCCACTTATGACTGTATGACTGTAACCTTGTTGCTGGTATCCTTAAGATTTATATTGACTGTTTCCCTATGACTATCATTAAGTGTTGTACCTTATGATTCTTGACGAATATATCTTTTCTTTTATGTACACCGAGAGCGTATGCATCAAGACAAATTCCTTGTGTGTCCAATTACACTTGGCCAATAAATAATTCTACTCTATTCTATTCTATTTATATTTTATATGTATCAGGTTTTGGTATTCTTAATTTCATAAAGATGTCTAAGAAATACAGTAGCAAAACTGTTGAAGCCACAAGTGATTTCAAAGTGGCTTCTGTGACTTCACTTTGAATGCAGACCATGTTTATGAAAACTATAATTTTCCAGGTACTATCTTTCACTTAGAAATATTTTACTATATTTTATAAACAGAGATTGGTGATGCCCTCGGGTATGAGGAACTATATCCTGTAATAATAGAATTATTTTTAAGTAAAGATGGTTAAGATCAATAGCCAATGCCAAGCCCAGATTAATGATTCCTCATCAATATGAGATGTATTCATCCAATTAATAATCATTCATTTGCTAGAAATGGTGAATAAGTACTCACATCTTCCAAAACTGACTTTCATATCCCAAACTAGGCTAATTCCTTGCTAGAGGACATCAGCAAAAGGACTTCCCGTGCCATTTGTATTTATTTTTTCTTCTCTTAGTCTGCTGGCATGAAATTATTTTAAAAGCTATTTTCAACTAGGGCAGCAATAACTTTGATGGCTGCACATACAAATGTGCTTGCTATTTTAAGAAAAACAAATGAAACATTCAGCAAATCTCAAGGGATGTACCAGGAAATCATCCAGTGGACTTCCACAATGTGCTAAAAAAATTATGGTTTGTTAGTTTTGCCTTAATCTGTTGTATGAACCCTGCCGTTATAAATTACCGAACAAAATATAGATAAAACTATGGCTTTAGGTCTCCTCCCTTTGTTTTAAATTCTGTTGGGTTTTCTCTGCCTCATCAAATACCTGCCAGTTCATGAACATGGAAACTCATTCAGCTGGTTTCTAAACTGCAAATGTTGGAGACAGAAGTGCGACTGGAAAGCAGTGATAACTACCTTCCATTCTACTTTTGGCAAAATAGTTCCATTTGAATGTAAACCTATGTTTCCTGGTACAAGCTGGGAGAGGTACTTACATACTCTTTCCTCATACTTTTTTTTCTCTCCTTCCTCCCAATATACTGCTGCAAGACAAAGATCCTTCAGTGAAAAAAAAAGAAAAAAAGAACAGTAAGTATGATTGGGTAAGCATAGGAAAATCAGTCTCTTTGGTTTAGGCCTCAGATAAAGCACAATGCAGTGGTGGGATTCAAATTTTTTTACTACCAGTTGTGTGGGCGTGGCTTGGTGGGTGTGGCATGGCTTGGTGGCCATGGCAGGGGAAGGATACTGTAAAATCTCCATTCCCTCCCCACTCCAGGGGAAGGTTACTGCAAAATCCCCATTTCCTTCCAGCTGGGACTCGGGAGGCAGAGAATAGATGGGGGCAGGGCCAGTCAGAGGTGGTATTTACCGGTATTTCTCCAAACTACTCAAAATTTCTGCTACTGGTTCTCCAGAACTGGTTAGAATACCACCTCTGGCACAATGTGATGGTGGGCAAACTTTCCCTAGAAAGGTAAATTCTGATCATGGTATGTTATTCAGAAAGTGGTGTTTTTCCACAAGAAAAATAAAGTTATATACATCACCAGTACATTTTATGCTCTTTACACCACCCAGCCACACCTTAGTCTCTGGAGTAGTGTTACTGTTGTATTCCAATTCTAGCCATAACCACCCCACTTTCCATGATGAAAACCAAAGGGGGGGGGAATACCTTTGTTATTTATGCTGGGAGCTTGAGCTGACCAACATTGAATTATAACTTTGTTCCACTAATGAGCCCTCCCAGAAGAGAAGATCTCCAGTATGTATAGCCCAAGAGAACTTCAAATACTTCATCTACCAATTGTGCAGATTAGTGACACCTTCCAAAGAGGAAGCTGCTGTTTTAGATTAATCAAGTCAGATCCTCCTTTGAGATGTAAAATGTCTTAGCTGCTTATCCTTGGGAAATTAAAGATTAATCAAAAAGGACTTGCTCTTTTTTAGACCAAGAGGCCAATTTCAATAAGTTGTTTTCCGATGCTTCCATGTCTCATCCACCCCAGCGTAAAAGAGGCTGTAATTTCCTAATAAAAGTATTTTCCAGCATCAAAAGACAGCAACTGTCACCATGTAATTTCTTGTCCAGATACACATTTGTCCAGGGATAGGAATAGCTTCTGCATTCCTAACTCAAGAGAAAGCAAGTTAATTACTACTAGTTAAACAAAGGCTCAAAGACTTGATGGAACAGCTTTCTTGCAGACTTCCCTACAACATATTCTAGCTATCCAAATTCTCAGTGCCATATGTGACTTGGCTTTCAAGTCATTGTGGCAATGAAGTAGCACAAGTTACACCACCTGATCTGCTTCATTAGTCTGATTTTTACCTCCCAGATTCCTCTTTTCAGCAGTCTGCTGCTTCTGCAAGTGTGAGAAACATATGAATTCCCTGCAGAGTTATCTTGAGTCTTTTGTCCTTCCAATCAAAGCAGACGGCATGCTTTTTGTTTGTGCTTCATTCAGGAGCTAAAAAACACAAAACCAAGTAAAATATGCCTAATTATGAATAAACTGGGAAGCACAGAAGAGAAAGAAAGAAAGAAAGAAAGAAAGAAAGAAAGAAAGAAAGAAAGAAAGAAAGAAAGAAAGAAAGAAAGAATTCAGATTCAGTTGCTATTATAATTTTGAGAAGTTCACTTAATGATCCAGATCCACCAAGGTTCTAGAGCAGGGATGTCAAACTCACAGCCCGCAGACACACTGGCCATGCCCACCCCATTTCCCCAAAGGAGGAAAAAGTCGCAATACTTTTGCGTAATACTCATGTGATGACAACGTGATGCCGTGAGTTTGACACCCTGTTCTGGAGTTCAAAACATTGTGGTTTTTCATAAAGATCCTATTCCCTCCCCCATATCCCTTAAAAAATATATCATAAAAGATAATGGGTTCCAGAAGTCAGTGAAAGAAGTTGTCTGTAATTTCACCCACATGGAAGGTTCCCTGTAATTATTACTGTCCACTAAATTACTGGAAAATAGCTTGTCTAGTAGATAGGTTGCTGGGCTAGGAGCAGAGAAACCAGAGTTCTAGTCCTGTTTTAGTCATACACAACCGGCTGAGTTACTTTGGGCCAATCATTCCCTCTCAAAAAAAAAATGCAATGATGATCTTCTAAAATGGTACCTGGAAAAATTCCATGAATGTCTCCATATAGTCACAAGGAATCAAGTGTGACTCCAAGCCCCTTCCCTCTCCTAAAATTAAATAAACACTATTAAATATTATTTCTGATGTTTTGGAAGCGAACCTGCAGGCATTCAGAAATATGGTTGGGAATTCTTTTGCTCTAAAGCATTCAATCTATTATGCTACTTATTTAAATAAGTCCCCTGAAGGGACTGAAATGTTAGTAGTTTTTCCATATCACATATAGCTTCACTAAAGTGCTGTGCCACTACCCTGATCTGAGAATTGGCTGGCAAAATGGAGGAAATATTTTATGAAACCTAATCCTTCCACATACGAGAATTGAACAGAAATCTGCAATTTAAAAAAAAATTAATTGAAGTAAACATGTTTGCATTTAGGTACTTTTATAACCCCCAATGTTAAGTATGGTTATTATTGATGGAGAATGCCTATGCGAATGAATGTAGTATTATATATACATCAATAATATATGAAACCTACCAAAAGAAGACAAAAGGGTCAACCAATAGAGGCATAACTGTCAACTATCAAACCACAAAAAGTAATAGTCCTACTGTATTCTGGAATATTATCTCCATTGTAGATGTTGCACTTTAAGGATTTTAACACATTGAAATGTTCATGGGAAATATTAAAGGTAGTCAGGTAGTCACCATGAAATAAATGCCAAGAAAGAAGGATAGTCTGGGCCCAGTGGTGAAATCCATTTTTTTTTTACTACCGGTTCTGTGGACATGGCGTGGCTTGGTCAGCGTAGCTTGGTGGGCATGGCAGGGAAAATATACTGCAAAATCTTCATTCCCTGCCCACTCCAGGGGAAGGATATTGCAAAATCTCCATTCCCACCTCACTCTGGTGCCAGCCAGTGGTGGTATTTGCCGGTTCTCCGAACTGCTCAAAATTTCCTCTACCGGTTCTCCTGAACCTGTCAGAATTTCACCCCTGGATTTCACCCCTGGCTGGGCCACTCGCCTATTGGCCAAGTGGAAGAGACACTAATTGGCTCATTAGGAATTCTAAGATTTGCACAGATGATAATGTGGGAAGCCCCACCCCACCCCAGAAGAATGAAATATTTTGGGAACTATTAAAAAAGGCAGAATATTATATTTCCCCAAAGGAAGAAATTGAGAAATATGTTTTAGAGGCAGAAAGCAGCCCCCAAATCTTTCTTAATAGCCCACAGCAGATGCCTCATTTAAGAGATAAAAAGCTTATTAAAAGAGGAAGACAAGAATCTAGATAGCTCTATTCATAAGCAAAGCAAATACTGCAGGCAGAAATCCATTTAAGACAGGATAGTTCGAAACTCCTTGCAGCAAAGTTTGACAGCTAAAAAAGGCAGAATGGTAGGGTTAGAAAGTAGCCCTCACCCAAGATCCAACACAAGACGAAAGCCATTAGCCACTATAGGAATTGCCCAACACCCTTTCAGAACAGTTCAAAAAAAAAAGTCACAGAAACCTATAAAGATCCATCCACTCATTCAACCGTTTGTTCAGCTGACCCAGAACTGCACACTATCTTTGTGGTTCTGTTCAATAAACTTTCTTTCCAATCAGCCTCCATGTTGTTTCTAGAGACTTTCTCCCAGCTTGGAACTGAACCAATTGGATTTTCCTTCCACCGATAGCAGTGAGTAGACCTGCAGGCTGACTCAAAAATGTACTTGAATCTGGCTTGTGACAGTACAGTAGTACTCTTGCTTTCTGAAGCTTTAGAAAGTAGGAGTACATGGATCCAATGTTTAAAGTAGAAAAGACTTTCATGAGAAATGTATTGGCATAGCAGTTGAAAATGGAACCCATTATCTAGAGAATTGATAGATTCTCCTCACTGGCAATGTTCAAGTACAGTCTAGACCAGGACTGTCAAACTCCCGCCCTGCGGACCGGATGTGTCACGTGCTGGCTACGCCATTCCCGATTTAGCAAAGGAGAAAAAAAGTCCTGATACATCACGTGATGCTGCCATGATGACGTGAGTTTGACACCCCTGGTCTAGAGAGCCTTCTCTTGATAACATTTTAGCTGGAATTTCTAGCATCAAGCAAGGTGATGAACTACCAAATCCATTTGACCTCTGATGCAGCATTGTTAATACACAGATGGAGAAATGTCAGTGCTAGTCAAGTGTCCTTTTTAACTTAAATCAGCTGAATTATCTTTCTGGCAGCTGTTGGAAAAAACCTGAAGAGATCAACCATCAGGAATGAGGGCAGGGAGCGAAGAAAAGATGGAAAATGTATTCAAACATCTATTCTGTCAAGGACATCTGTAACACAAGGCACCTGAAGTAAGCCTTGCTGTCAAAAGCGTAAGAAAGGCCTTTTTGTTTACATTTGTTTGTATTCCATTATTGGTTTTTTCCCTCCGCCTAAATGACTGCTCTCTGAATTTTCTCTTTTACGTGCACTGCAGTTAAATGACTTTTACCTGATAAATATGGAGAACTTGATGACTTGAAAAAAAAAAATCCTTCTGTGTCAATTTGGCAGTTCATATTCATGCTGAGATTGTATCTAATTTTGAAAATCTTCACACTTGTGCCCTGCCATCATGTGTAATCTTTTATGCATGGCTACTTCCGCTGCTGCTGCTGAGGCAGTTGCTATGCAACAGATGAACCTGCACCATAGGGCCCTGACATTAGTAAAAGCAAATTGACCACGGGAGCACTAATCTAGCATGAAAAGCAGTTGGTGCCATATATTTCCTTGAGAAGGATTTCCTAATCAACAAGCAAAACCTACCTTCAAACGTGAGCTGAATTACCTGGGCTTGGAGTTCCCTCATTCACACCTTCTTTGCTGCATCACATTATTATCAAGGGCTAATGCTTTGGGGCTAAAAAGATAAGTAGAAGCTTGTGGTACTTGCTGGGCATTTTCAGTTAATTCCATGTGCTCCTCTCATATAGTGACTGAAAACAGCTTCTTTTTTCATCCTTAGGAATTTGAGCCCCTTTTTACTATTAGGGATCCTCTTTTTTTTTCCAGCCCATTCACCTGTTGAGAAACTGCTGCACTTTTCTGAGGATCACATCTGGTGCATATGGAATATTGCCTCTGCTTATCAGCTTCAATAACTGCCCTGTTATGAGTAGGAGTTATAGAGATTTACCAGATTGTCTTCTAGAAAGGCTGGGGGAGGTTTAGGGCAGGGGTGAAATCCAGTAGGTTCTGACTGGTTCTGGAGAACCAGTAGTGGAAATTTTGAGTAGTTTGGAGAACCGGCAAATACCACCTCTGGCTGGCCCCAGAGTGGGATGGGAATGGAGATTTTGCAATATCCTTCCCCTGCCACACCCACCAACCATGCCCACCAAGCCACACCATGTCCACTAAGCCACACCCACAGAACCGGTAGTAAAAAAAATTGAATTTCATCACTGGTGTAGGGTTTTTTTGTTTTGTTTTGTTTTGTTTTGTTCTTTTTTTTAAAGATCTTTGCTAAGCAATAAAAGAGCGTCATTTAGCAGCAAGCAAATTGCCCTGGGCAACATTTTCCAAGTATGATTGTTGAGTTGTAAAGGCTCCAGTCTCAGATTTGGGGCATTTGATTATGGGGAACAGTTCCATGTAGCATTTACATCCCACACCTTTTGGAGTATTAAAGTCAAGCCACACTATTTTTAATTGTCTTATAGTAATTTGAGAGTATTATAGTAATTTGGGAGCTGACAATATGTGTCTTTTGGTCAAAGGAAGGATTTGCATATTGCAATATGCATATTGGCAATTTGAAGTCATACAGAGTTTTTTATTTTATTTATAATGCCTTGGTAAGGCCACCCTTGGAATACTGCATCCAGTTTTGGTTGCCACGATGTAAAAAAAATGTTGAGACTCTAGAAAGAGTGCAGAGAAGAGCAACAAAGATGATTGGGGACTGGAGGCTAAAACATATAAAGAACAGTTGCTGGAATTGTGTATGTCTAGTTTAATGAAAAGAAGGACTAAGGGTGACATGATAGCAGTGTTCTGATATCTCAGGGGTTGCCACAAAGAAGAGGGAGTCAAGCTATTCTCCAAAGCACCTGACGGCAGGACAATAAGCAATGGATGGAAATTAATCAAGGAGAGAAGCAACCTAGAACTAAGAAGAAATTTCCTGACAGTTAGAATAATTAATCAGTGGAACAACTTGCCTCCAGAAGTTGTGAGGTCCTCCTATACTGGAAGTTTTTAAGAAGAACCATTTGTCTGAAATGGTATAGGGTTATGGTTTCCTGCCTGAGCAGGGGGTTGGACTAGAAGACCTCCAAGGTCCCTTCCAACTATTCTATTGTAATCTAATCTAATCTAATCTACCCCAGTTCTTCAACAGTTTCCTTAAGCAGTTTACAAGAAAGGAAAAAAAACCCTAAAACATATTAAATAAAATTAAATAGTTTTTTGGTTTCTGGTCTATCCTTTATGATAACATGTTACCAGAATGATATAGGATAATATGGGATTCAAGTTAATGTGTAACAAAGGTAGAAGGAAGGAACTTGAACTGGAAATGAGCACAGTGGATGATATAAATTTTACCTGCACACTATAGTGCAATTGAGGCAAAATTGTTTGAAAATTCAGCTTTCAGAAAATAACTGTTTTTCAAAAGCAAAGATTTGCTGGGAGGCCCCAACAGGCAGGTACTTAGAAATCAGTCGGTATGAAGATGGCAATTGTGTGCAGAACTCAGAAGTTAGGAAAACTTTAGCTTAGTTTAGTTTAGTTTTATTTGATTTGTATACCGCCCTACTCCCGAAGGACTCAGGGCGGTGAACAGCCAAGCAATAAAATACATAAATACAAAAATTTAAAAAACCAGTTAAAATCAAATTAAATCATTTTGGCCCAGACAAATTAAAACACCCCAATAATTTAAGAACAGATTTAAAATTTATATATTAAAAGAGGGAGGAGATTAGGCCAAGCCTGCTTGATGGAATAAAAGAGTCTTCACAGCGCGGCGGAAGGTGCCAGATCCGGGATCCTCCGTATCTCTGGGGGAGCTCATTCCAGACGGTAGGTGCCCCCACAGAGAAGGCTCTCCCCCTAGGGGTCGCCAGCCGACATTGTTTGGCTGACGGCACCCGGAGGAGTCCCTCTCTATGAGAGCGTACTGGCCAGTGGGAGGCTATTGGTGGTAGTAGGCGGTCCCGTAGATAACCAGGTCCTAAGCCATGGAGCGCTTTAAAGGTGGTAACCAAAACCTTGAAGCGCACCCGGAAGACCACCGGGAGCCAGTGCAGCTCGCGCAGGAGAGGTATCACATGGGAGCGCCATGACGCTCCCATTACTAAATCTCCCAAATCTAAAGGCAAACTTTAGATTTTAAAACATACATTTTTGTTCAACTCTGGATCATTTGAATATTTGTAACTTGCCTTCATTTCGGTGAAGGCTATTACAGAAAGTGCAACAAGTGCTCTACTGTTCATTCCATTCTTTGTACTTTCTTACTTACGTGCCATCAATATGCCCATTTATTAAAAATTGCTCTGGAGACATTTTTCTTGGTACTCATGTTATCATGGGAATGTGGCAGGAGGATGAAAGCATATTTATTTGATTTATGCCTTGCCTTTCATTAAAATGTGCTCTCTTCTGCTATATTTCCTCACTGCAAGCTTGAATGGTAGATTGGATTGAGAAAAAGAGTAGCTTAAAATCATTCAGCCATTTCTGTGGCTATTCTGAAGTTTCCCTACTCAAAGCCCAGGGCCGTCAAACTCCCAGCCCATGGGCCAGATGCTTCACGTACTAGCCACACCCACACCCGGTTTAGCATAGGGGAGAATCCTAGCCTAACACCTTAACTATCATACCTCTGGCTACCATTCCTGAACTTATCTTTCCCATTCTGAAATAATGTTCTACTTGGACAATAGTGATGGCTGAAGGGAGTGATAGAGGCCATTTCTTTTTTCTAGGTAAAATAAGTTATCACAGACCTCAGAAATACTGAATCAAGATAATTATATTTTACAGTTTAGATGATATGAGTTAAGAATATAGAATAACAGAGTTAGAAGGGACCTTGGAGGTCTTCTAGTCCAACCCACTGTACCATTTCAGACAAATGGTTATCCAATCTCTTAAAAACTTCCAGTGTAGGAGCATTCACAACTTCTGGAGGCAAGTTGTTCCACTGATTAATTGTTCTAACTGTCAGGAAATTTCTCCTTAATTCTAGGTTGCTTCTCTCCTTGATTAGTTTCCACCCATTGCTTCTTGTCCTACCCTCAGATGCTTTGGAGAACAGCTTGACTCCCTCTTCTTTGTGGCAGCCCCTGAGATATTGGAACACTGCTATCATGTCACCCCATTCCTTCTTTTCATCACACTAGACATACCCAATTCCAGCAACTGTTGTTTATATGTTTTAGCCTCCAGTCCCCTAATTATCTTTGTTGCTCTGCTATATGGACTATAATGCCCAAGAAACTAAAAAAAAAATGATAAAACCAGAATGATTGGCTTTCCGTACGATTGATTTCAAGCAGTTGTTAGTCATCCTGTTTTCCTAATCAATTGCTGTGACTCAGTTTTTCTTGCTGAGGTGTTAACCAATCAAATATTTATTTATCAAAACAAAATGTAATGATTATACATCAATTTATCTTTGACTTGCTAAAAGCCATACTTTTTAGTTATCACTTTTTAAGAATATTTGGCTACTTCTGACACTTCTTTGCCTTTTTTTTTCAACAAAAGATTTATCTAAACAGAATGAGAAAGAAAGTACAATGTATGTTCTTTTTAAAAATAGCATACCATACTTCCCTTCAGGAAAACATCCACGGTTCATGCATTCAGTATAAAATAGCTATCACTTTTAGAAACTCTTTTAAAAATTGAATAGAATTGAAATCTTCATCATACTTCTTAGTTTGTAAGACTGCTGTTTCATTACAAGTCTGAGACTGAAGGTCAGCTGCAGAATTATATTAAATGTGGAATTAGCAATTACAATTTTTAAAAAGTATCTATGATCCTCAATTTATTTTTAGACTGCATTGGCTATGCAGCTGTTTTGTGTCTGGGTTCCAGTAAACCTCATATTCCAATTTTTTTTAAAGGAAATGTGTTATTGTTTCCACTAGTAATTATTAATCTGAGTGCATATTGTATGTACAAAATCATTTTCCATAGAAACCAGTTTGACTTTCGGATTGTTTGTTACAGGCTGCTAAAAGATGCAGTCTTGAAAATCTAATGGTTTGTTTTAGTCAATATGAGTGTTTCTTTAATAGTTTCAGACAGAAAGCCGCTGCTCTGTTGACCTCAGAGAGGGAAAGATACCAGAAAGGTAAGGAAACTACTTTTATAGGGCTAACATCTGTTAACGAGAGTTCAAGCTTTTCACCTCAGTGAACCCTGCATGAAGAATAGCACTTAGAAGCTTATATATTCCCTCACCAACAGATGCCAGCCCAGTAAAAGGCATCATTTCACCCCCCTCATATCTTCATGTTCCTTTAATTATTTCATAATGAGATTACACTAGAGTCTAAAACAGAAGGCCTGCATTTCTGAGCTGGAGGAACATTATTGCCTGGTTCTGGAAAACATGAGAAGCAAAAATCAGTCCATTTA